GGTGGAAAATTTTTCGAAAAAATCGAAAGTGACTTGGTCAGGCTAAGAAATACTTCATTTTGCTCAGAATTCGACGCTGATTCCGAATATGTGATTTTCTTTTCAAAACATTCAAGACAGAAAACTGATCTTACACGCCCCCCCCCCCTTCTTTTTCTTTTATACTGTGGAAAAAACACTTGTTTTACTTGTAAATCCCACAAAAAAACCAAAACACCAAGAAATATTAGAGCATGTGAAGTACGGACAGTTTTATTGAAAGTTTTATTTTTTCCTTATCTCATAAGTTCTCAACAATGCAAAAATAGTGGATTTTATTTTATTGTTATTCATAGATCGTTGGATAGAGTCAGATGTTGTTTTGGGATTCTTTTCAATTATTTAGATTTTAACTGATGGTTTTAAATTCGTAATAAGGTGCTGCAGTTTTGTTTGTTCAGACATCTGAGGATCTGCATCCGTGCACAATTTGATGATATCCGCATAGTATTGTTTTATTGGTTGAGAACTTGTTTGTTTATATTTTTTAAACGTTGAAAAGCTAAATTAACTTCATACGTTGATGTGTAGGCGTTTTTTATTTCAATTTTAAATTGTGGCCAAGTTGTAATATTGTCTTTCTGTTCTTTATACCACTGTTTGGCTTCGTTTGTATTGTGAAATATATTCCAAACATAAATGATCTGGCCATTTAGCTGTTATAAATTTTTGTTCGATGTCTTCTAGCCAGTTTGATACATTACCTTTACCGAAAAACGTTTTTGGATTCTTGATAAGATCTTCTATAAATGTTTTTTGAAGAATATTTTCAACAGACTGATGTTTAAAAATTGAAGAAGATGAATGAATCGACGTTGTTGTATTATCATGTTTTTGTTCACTAGTATGTGTTAAAGAAGAAGCTTTTGTTTCATTTTGAACAATAGAAGAAGGAGGGTTGATGTATTTTAATCGACAAGACCTAACGAAAGAAGAAATGTCCTGTATGGGCATATTTCTGAAAACCTCGTTTATATTTTGAAGCCCAGAAAATTCTCTATGTCACTATGTATTAGCTTTGGTCAAGGACTATGAAATCGGAAGAGAAATTTGTGGAAAAGGGTAAATGGCTTTTGTTGAATTGGTGGTGAAAACTGAAAAATAATTTTTTTTTCAAAGACACCAGAAGGAATTTTTGAAAGTGGGAAGTGAAAGAGAAAGCATTTCCGATCATTCTCACTCAAATGGGGCCATTTTCTACAGAAACCGTTTCCCGTCCTTTACGAAAAAGCGACAAATTAACTTGTGTTCACGCTTCATCGGTACATATCTTGTGACTATGCACGAGAGGTCACTCTTGCAAAGCAATGTTTCACGAAATAGCGCAAAAAAATTCCACGTATGTTCACATCGTGAAGGGTATCAAAATTTCTACATGGGTAGGTGCCCATAAATACGAACATCCCGAAGGATAACGTCATCATCTTCGTGATCGCTTCCACGTTCGTGTCGAATTATTTTGGTTTACTATGACCTTACTGTGAGTCTTGTTTTATTTACTTTCTTCTTTCCGCTTTGAAACACTGTGTTTCTGTTTATAGGAGAGATCAGTTTGAACGTTGGATAAAATTTCGTGCGTTTAAGTTCTTAGTTTATTTTGATTATATGTCAAAAGAAATTGTGAATATGGTTGAACATTTCGATGAATAGACCAAATTTTCAAAAGAGATTTAGATTAATTTCCTCTGGTTTTCTATCTCTATGTTTTTTTACCTAATTAACTTTTTATTTTCAAAAATAAAGATACTTTTGCAGCGTAGAATGTTTTAGAAAAGCAGCCACACGTACTTTTACTCCTAGGTAAGTTAGGCTATCACTATGACGCCACTTAAACGGAATTTAGCGACATATTCATATTCATGCCTTAAAAGTTGATTGTAGACTATCATATGCTGAAGCTTTTAATCATTTCTGAGCAACGGTCCAGAAAGTCTGTTCGACGTATTTATTCATTTTTCTTTGAAGCCCAGACGTTCTTAATACAATCTTATACACGAAAACATGCGTAATTAAACAGGCTTTAAAATGATATGTAGCACACCTTTTCAAACTAATGTCTTCATAAATGTATTGGACAAATACTTGACAAGAAGCTCGATTTTACTCGTAGTGGCAGACAAAACTCATTTTACTTTTGTCTGCCAGCTATTGAAGTTCTAACACCAATAGATAGAGGAAAGTAGCCTCTTCAAAATGAGAACAAAGCCACCTCTTAATCTTTCGTGGTTGAGATGTGGCATCGGATTTGCTTGTTGATGTGTTCTCCAATAGTCTAAAACAGCTTCCCCTCCGGCTTCATCAATAGTTGTGGTTGAGTTCATGTATTCGAGCGAAAAAAAATTTCGGGATTTAACGGGATTGTAATTATGCCTACGGGACGGGATCGGAATTGGGATTGGCGAAAAGAATCTTTCGGGATCAGGACCGGGTTTCAATCCTACGGGACGAAAAAGCTCAAGCCCGCAGGGCTCTAGCCTAGACTTTCATACATTATTGTATAGCTCTTTTTTCGTATCCGACTCTTTATTCGTTGTTACATTGTATCGATTGTGTTTCTGTGTCCCTCAATAATACTGGGGCAGGCTTCTCTTTCGGCAGTAGGCGAAAAAATTCAAATGTTAGACTAAAAATAGCTTGTGAACAATATGAGGCGCCTGAACGGATCAAAAACCTGAACTAGTTCCCAAACGCGCTTTAACGCGTCTATTGGATCGGATTGTAACAGGCGCGCCTTAATATAGCGCATCTGAACACGTCAAAGATAAAAAATAGTTCCCAAGGGCGTTTTTATGCGTTTGTACGCGCCTTGACGCGTTATAATATGTCACGTTTAAACGCATCTGAAGAAACGACCTGTAAAGTCGCGGTTAAACGCGTCATATTGTAGCGCGTCTAGTCGCGTTGGAGCTGCTGTACTTAAAACGACGCATTAAAACGCGTTGTTTGTGCCAAAATTTTTCAGACGCGTCTTGACGCACTTAGTAATTAGAGCTATTCTCAAGAGCTCACGCAAGAAACTGCACTTTTTCGTATTAATTTTGAGAAAAAGACTAGCTCTTTGTTAATTTTAGGCATGGCAACAGCCATTTTGAATTTCTATTGGTTAGCGCACAGAACCAGCTAAATTCTATCTCGTTTGTATGATACTACTTTTAAGTGTTGAAATAGTCAATTGATCACTACAAATTATTTCTTTTAATGTTAGATAAATGTGACAGAATGAACAAAGAGCAAAAAGTCCAATATCCGTGTTTAGGCGCGAAAACACTTTGGCAGTGGCGCCAGAATAATAGCGCCTAAAAACAGAAATAAAATAAAAAAAATTTCTGAATTTCCCGTTTTCGGATTTTATGGTTAGTTAATACAAAATTAATTCTAAGATTTTATATATATAAATGACTCTGTATCTCTGAGCCCGACAAAAGTTCATACTTTTCATATGCGAATGAATGTATAATTTACTAACGTAGTTAAAAAGTACCACAGATATCTCGCACGTGCTCGATTTGAATTACACCGGACAACAACTTGGAACTTTTTGCTAGCTTCGAAATTCAGGCCTCGAACTGTTTGACTATAGTTTACAGTGGTTGTAACAGTCAATTCCCTAAGAGCATGTCAGATTATAAACTTTGTTAACATAAAAAATATTTAGCAATGAAATTTCATAAAACGCTTTTTTTTCTTTTACCACGTACTGTTAGTATGACTGCTGAAGGTAAATTTTGAAAGATTGTTGGAAAGAAACACTTTTGTTTGTTATCTGGTAAATTATTTCATCTGTGAATGTTCTCAGATGTCGGGTAGTTCGTGAATTTTCATATTACTACGGTTAGAAAGGAATCAAAAGGAGATAATCGGTTTTAAAAACAAACAACAATTTATCAAATAACTCACATAGGAGCCGTTAACCAAGTTTTGAATCATAGTTCGTGATTGGAAATCATAGACAAGCAGCCGCAAACCCACTATTTTAGAAAGAAAAAGTTGTATGTCATCCCAAAAGAAGAAAAGAAAACAAAAGATCTAACAGTGATGACAGACAGTATTTCGTCGGTGAAAATATCATTATGCAACAGACATGACATTTTTTCTTTTCTTTTCTTTATCATGCAGAAACTTGTTTCAAAAAGTCTTTATAGTGTAAGTAGTTTTTCCTTTGTTCTAAAGCAAGTGCGGGAATTTTCACACTCTGATATTTTATCAAAATATTTTATGGTGAATAACATTTCGTTTATCGAAAGGAATGGTCTATATTTCGGCTTAATTTGAGGTATAATCTATAACGTTAAGCATATTAACTTGCCTTTCTTTTCCATATAGATTTCGAGTATGTATATATTTTTTCTAACTCATAGAGCCCACTTCTTTTGCGTTCCTTCAGATGTGGTGTATGCCAGAAAAATAGAAATAATATTCCTAATAATGCACGTAATTTCTACATAGTTGTTTTCTTTATGTTTATATGATTGATAAAGCAGCATTTCTTAATACACTACCAAATGTGTGATAGGAAACCTATTTTACTGGTTTTTATTTTTCTGCTAAACATAGCTGTTGAATGTGGTGCCGCTGATGATCATGATGTATCGTCTCCGACATTTTGGCAAACTTCAGATACTTGCAAACAAGCGGTGTCTGTAAAAACCCGAGGAATAACTGCAGAGATAATTCAAACAAATCAGTCTATACCATTTCATCTATTATTGACCAATAGAAGGACTTTGGGTAAGAAAACTCAATACTGGTTAATTCTCTCTGTCACCCACGAAAAGCTCACTCTACAAAAAATCGCCAACAGTCGTCAAACAATATTAAAAGATATATCCGCTGCTGACTATGTACTGCAGACATTTGAACCAGGTAGATACAAGTATTGGCTCAGCGTTGACACGAACAATTTCTTGATCAAGTATGGCATTGGTGAAATGAGAAATGAATGTACACTTTTCAATCTTCGTATGATCGAGTCGGAAGACAAAAAGTATTTACCGAAACTGAAATATTCATATACAAAATTCGTACAAGAGGACTCCGAAAATGAAAGCCGTGAAATAACAAAATTATGTCATCTATTAATAGTACATAATGGGGCTATTGGAAGCAATTCGCCTGTGTTTGTGACCGCGGACGACATGTTCGTCGATCAGTTTCAGAATAAATCTATGATACTAGTTGATGACTTGGACAAACCAAATCTACGATTATATAAAAAAGCGATCGACTTCAAATTGACTGATACAGCATTTCCCGAACTTATGACGGCTATTGAACAAAGTTGCCGTCATGAGTTAGGATGGTGTCACAAGACACTACGTAATAAAACCGCAATGGACTTGTATTCGAGATCTATTTTGCTCAAAGGCGAAAATGACATGATTCTGGAAATTTGGCCGCCAAATCATCAATCAAAAATTATTCAACATGTGGCTAATACGCATGGAATTATACGTATTCTACACAATAAACTATTGATCGAATTTCATCCATACTTGAGTGTTAACCCAAATCAAAAACCATTTTTGAAACAACCATGTGAACACGATGAAGTCATGTATATCAAACCTGGCCTAAATCAAATCTACAGACTGATAAATCCAAGAAGTACTTTGACTCTAGTCATACAAGCCTTTGATACAGACTCATTCGAGTATATAGATCGTGGCCAAATCAAACAATCCAAAAAATTAACGGATATGGATTACGAAGAATTTAGAAAAACGATGAAAATAGAATGGCAGCAATCGAAGGGTAGATTGGTATCTGTATAACGTCTAAAAATGTTTTTTGATTAATCTTGTGTTTTTGATTAGATTGGTCATCTCTTACGCCGGCAACCACTTCCACTCCCACTTCCACTTCCACTTTCACTTCCACTTCCACTTCTACTTCCTCTTCCACTTTCACTTCCACTTTCACTTCCACGATACCAACGACTACAAAGCCAGTAACTACGTTTGTAATCACGACACAAACAACGACGTCAACAACAACACCTGGTGAGCTTTTTTCCACTTGTCAATGCCAAGATTTGTTCGCTTTTCTCGATCTAGTGGTCTGTGTACCTGCATGTCAACATGGCGGAATCTGCGTTAGTACAAACGTTTGTAAATGTGATGGCACACTATGGACTGGAAACGATTGTAGTATACGTCAGTTTGTCATACTGCTACGTAGTATTTGTTTAGTAGGTTGACTGCTTTGATGATATTTTTAGCTGTCTGCACAATTTCTTGTGCCAATGCTGGATGGTGTTCCGCACCGAATACATGTCAATGCATAAACGGTTGGTCCGGAAAGGAATGTACAATACGTACGTTACGTTTCTTTTTATTTTATGTAACTGTTTTACTTCGTTCTACCCCCTAATCTACTTTCCTACTAGTGACTGTCAGCATCCAGTTCTCAATGATATTATTATTTGTTGATTATGATGTCATTTACGAAAAACATAATGTTCTCTAAATAACAGACATCTTTGAGCTTTTCATGACGGTAGACAGAAAATCCGAGATCTTATTTTCCAATGCGTTAATGGTTGGTCTGACAGCGACTGCATGATCCGTTTCAACTTTGCAAAACCTTTTGGCGTTATTATTTTCTATATCATTCAGATAATCCTTCTACTGCCTCATGTTCAGTTGGTAATTGGGATGAATGTGCTTTACAACTTGCTAAACAAATATACGCTTCATTAACAAATTGGGAAAATATCCAAGAAATAACGTTGTTCGGTGGTAAACTGTGTCATTCACAGGTTAGAGGAGGTTTTCACAGATGGCAATGGAAATGGTCAGGACAATTTTGGTGTCCACAAATATCAGCTTCAATTAGTGGAGAATCAAAAAACTTGTTAAGTAGAGCAGGTGCAGTTGAACATGCGATACAAGATTATATAGCAAAATGTACACAACAACATGTTTGTACAGCTGAACAATTACAAAATTGGCAACAGTAGAATGTAATGGGATAATTACATTTTCATAACGCGGTAATTTTTCTGCTCTTTTTACATACACTTACCTTTAGATAAAAGCATGTATATCTTTCCTTCGAAGTTATGTGCCAAGTGACAGTCCAAAATGTTGTGCAAATCAAAACAAATCTTTTTCATGTTTTTTATATACAGAATCGAACAATTTTATTGCGCCTGCCGTAGTAGGGATCTCTGTTTAGTTGAAAAATTATTACTAATAATTGCTTATAAACAAATAAATCGACTAGAGCAAAATGGTTCAACAGCAATATTACATGCTGCGTGTTTCTATGATCATAAAAATATTGTATAATTATTAATTACATCAGATATTGTTGGTATGACAATTATAAGCTGTTGTACCAACCCACCCAAAAACAGCATATCAGGTAGCAATTAGTGATGAATTCGTGATTTATCTCGTCGATCAATAATAACAATCACAAATACTGATGGTCATTATGTTAATCCTTATTTTAAGACGGATTTAAGATGCGGATAATTCAAAATTTTAGCAGAATTTACTATTCATTTCTTTGTACATAGTTGGATAGAGCTTGTCGAGCTGACGAGGGAAGGCCCCCAACTTTCCAGAAGTTTTTGGCCCAAAACTTAGTGGACAATAGGTGATCGAGTGTCCTGATTCCGAATATTACATTGGTTTAGGCCCAATTTTAGTTTAAAGATCCGTTTTTTGAAATACTGGGTTTTGGGGTCGAAAAACCATTTGCAATAAAAAAAATTTTTGATCCGTGA